GACATGGAAGATTATGCCTGATGTATTTTTATATCGTGGCTAGAATGTTTTAATTCATCGGATTTCATAAAGAGAAAGGAGGTGTAGATGGAGGGGGTTCTCCTCTTCACCCCAGTTGTCCATTGTGCCATATCGCAGATGTCAGAAAACCACCAGACACCCCCCATCAATCTATTTTTTATGTTGTGCCTCCCTGTTTCCGCAATCACTATTTCCTTTAATTGTTTTTCTTTTAATTATTTTTATTTACTCATCCATTTATTTGTGGGCAGGGTACTTAGTTTTCTTAGTAGTTCTTCACAAAGGAACGAATCAGGGTTTTGGTTCTTGTTACATTTTATAAGCAAGCATGGGTTGGGGTTATCTACTGCTACACAAAAACACAATTCCCATACGTTTTATGAGCAAGTAAAGCATTAGGATTATTAATAATATATTTTTTTAAATATCCATTATTATAAACATGCACTTTTAAACTTCCTTTTTAAAAGCTTCCTCTGAGAAAATGTACACATATTTTTTGATTAATTTCTTATTTAAAGGGGTCATATGATGCGATTTCAATTTTTCCTTTCTCTTTGGAGTGTTACAAGCTCTTGGTGCATAAAGAAGATCTGTCAAATACACAAAATAATGTTCTTTTTAGCAACATCATATGACCCCTTTTTAAACTGTATGTATATATATATATATATATATAATAACAAATGTTATATTATTATTATTGCTGTTTTATAGGTTTAACAAAGCACAAATCAAAATCTTTGGCTATATCATGGCCCTAAAAAATAGTCCTACATGGCTCATGTTGACCCGAGTTTGTGATGATTTTTAGGCTTGGACCAAGTCTTGAAGCACTAAATTAAGTCAGACCAAAGAACATTAGCACTTCCAGAAAACTCTTTAATGCTGCTTTTGCATCAGGGCTCTCAAGGAGAGCTGAGAAGCTAAACAGGATCCGGGGAGAGTGGAGACGCACAGACATAATAGATGGATCACATGCTATTTATATAGGCTGGCTCGGAAAACCGAGCGTGAGAGGAGAGAAAATGAAGGGGAGTGAAGGAGGAAGAGAACATGTTGACTCGCGCTAATCTGTTTCATCTCTCTGTACACTCCCTGTGTGTTTTTCTCTAAAGCTGAAGATAAAACCACACAGACTCATTTTCAATATGAAGATCAAATCCTTACAATCACCTGTTCAATATTTGGCCATGCTGAGTCCAAATCCCCAATATCTCCTGAGCCAATAGAAAGCTGGCGCTGTAACTACTCCGATGAACAGATTTTGCAATGTTAGCATAACAGTACAGAGCTGTTTAGTCATGATGTTAGTTTGTAGGCCAACCTGGGAAGGCTAATAGGTTTTTAGAGCAATGGTTTTGGATTTATATGAAATAAGGGTTATTGTTAAGACACTTACTCAACTACAACTACTGTACCACAAAGATGTGAGTTTATATGAACTACAACTCAAAAGTTTGGAGTCAGTAAAAAAATTCAAAATTACTGAAATATTTCAAATAAATGCTGTTCTTTTGAATTTTCTATTTATCAAAGAATCATAAAAAATGTAACATGGTTTCCACAAAAAAAGATTAAGCAGCACAACTGTTTTCAACACTGATAACTGGAATTCAGCATATTAGAAAGGTAAGCATTAGACAAAAATTACTGAACCTAGACTTTTGAACAGTAGGCCTAGTGTACATCATTTGATGAATAGCCATTTTAGTCCCTACTTACAGTAGCATGAATCATGCACAAACAGCACATGTGTGATGTGTAATTTGTTACAATACAAAATAGGAAAGTATCTTCAAGTAGGAGACAGTGGGGTAAAGTGTGCTACCTCTTGTTTTAAACAGCCATACAAAATGAAGCAAATGGCAGCATTTTCAGGAAGAAGCAATCATTTCATTCAGTGGTGAATTTAGTAAATAATTTATGTGAATGCTTAGTAGGAGACATTTCAGATGTTACTGTTTAGTTGGTGCTTTCACTATTAAAGAAGACATTAAGCATGTTAGCATGCTTTCCCAAAATTGTGAGTGAACCTAAAGGCTGTGACACCAAGCTGATAAAGAACTAGCAGTGATGAAAGGCAACTGTGTTTGGGCTAAAGGTTGCACTTGAACACACCGCAAAGACTGCAGCCAACAGCTAACTAGCACTTACATTCTGCATATATAAATACAGTACCAAAACTAGATCTGTGGATATATAAACAGTTAACAAAACAGCACTTGCTTACATTTTCGAATATGAATCATGTTACTTTCCTCATTCCATGCTGTTATGAAAAAAATCATTAATTGGAATAGACCTTAATCAGTCTTTAATCAGTTTAGATGCCATATTGAATTTAACACAGATGCGGCTGACAAACAGTATGGTCCTAGATCATGTCATTTTCATTTTATGGAGCTTTTGTCTACTGATTTTTTTTCATTAAGCTGAACAGCCAGTCAGCATCATCTCTCTCACCGACTGCCAGACGCCAAATCAACATGCTTACTCAGCCAAAAAGCCTTTAGTAAAAGTGAATTTAATAAATAAGCATACATGAAAACATAAACATTTCTTTGTCTGATTGTACGCTACTACAGTTAATTAATTAACAATGTTTTACATATTAACTTTTAACCCAGGCTGTCCCTTAAAGAAATAATCAGTTCTCCTGGACTTCCTCCTTTAATAGAAACCTGAGTTATGGCACATGAACAGGAAGTGTGCCGTCTCCAGTGTTTTCTCAGCAGAACAAATTTGCCCACACTGTTTTCTTGTACCCTCAGTGATGTTGTGACAAGCACAGGCCAGGGTGCACCTGCATATGGAAGCTGAGGTCGTTTAGGACACAAAAAGATCTTTTCCCCAGACCATCACTGCCATCGGCTCCCTATTTATACCCTCATTCTCTCTCACACACACAACAGTCGCACACCCACAGGGAAGGAAGCATATCATGGAAGTCTCACTTTTTTTTTTTACACCCGTCTCCCAAGGCCTCTCAGTGGTGGATGAGCTCTCGCCCTCCTATTTACACTCCAGTAAGTTAAGGAAATAGCCACTGGCCCATGTCTACAAAGCAAATTGAGAATCACACTGGGAGGAAGTCAATACAATACCCATTTCCAAGTATTCCAACAATCGCCTGCTAATGATAAAGGACATAAAACATAAACAACCAGTGATTCCCAAGCCGTTTCATAAGCATTTGAACACAAAACAGACACTTCAGGGCTGGAACACACAGAACAGTCTGTTCCTTTTGGTTAAACATGTTTTTTTAGTGGACCAGATTGGCGGGAAACAGAGGATAGGGAGGATCAATGTCTTGCCTTAAACCACAGCTTCTAGTTTGCCATCCTGATGCTTTGATCGGGGCGCTATCTCTGTACCTGTGCTCTCGGATCTGTGTTATTCAATTACATTTGAACTGATTCCAAACGTGAAAGAGAGAAGCCAAGAAAAAAAAGTCAATTTTTTCTGCTGGCGCGAAGGACAGTGTCTTTGCCATCTAACATTGATTTCCAATACGACAGTCTTAACATGTCTAGATACACTAAAACGGGGCAAGATTAATCCAAATCATCCTATCACGCCATTTGAAGAAAGGGATCAGTAAATGCATTCTCCATTATCTAAAAAAAAGCCACTTAAAGTTTGTTGACCTTAATGGAAGAAGTGCAAAGGCAGTATGGAGTTTCTTTCCAACATTTGTATGCATTTAAGATTAGATCCGAGCTGGATTACGAAGGTATTTCGGAGGGTGTTCGATTTTGCTGTATTTGGCCGAGCAGTTGTCCGGGTGGCTCGCCAATGTATTAGATTACGCCAATACATAAAACAAGTAAGCTTCACCATGATTCTAGTGGGGAGAAGAATTTCTTGAAGGTAGTAGTGTAGAAGTTCTTCAGCAGTGATGTTAGCGTGTTAGTCTTCAAAGAATCTTCACCCAAAGTTCTGTCTGTGGGACAGAAGTTTATACCTGCTACATATAATAGATGGGATACTGTTAGGACCTCCCACTAGAGATCCTGCAATGCACTCATAAGATATTCTAAAAGATATCTAATCTTCGAAAGAAGTCTGATGCATACTAGACAAAAATAAAGTAAAAACAGTAATATTGTGAAATGTTAAAATAAAGCAATTATAAAATAACAAATAAATGTAAAATCATTTTCTGTTTCTAAAGCTGAATTTTCAGCATCATTACTCCAGTCGTCAGTGACACATGATCCTTCAGAAATCATTCTAATTGACTCTGATTTGGTGCTCAAGAAACACCAAAGAAAACTTCTTTTGTCGAAAAGAGTTGTGCCGCTTAATATTTTTTATGGATATATATCCCCCCCCCAGATGAATAGAAAGTTCAAAAGAACAGCATTTATATAAAATTGAAATATTTTGCAACATTATAAATATCTTCAGTCACTTTCTTACAATGCTGCCATTTCATATGAAATCACACTATTTTGCATTAGACTAGATTGAATACTGATTTTTTTTTTACAGCCACTTTTTGTCTATTTAATCATTTACTTGTCCTACAGCATCTTTGAATTATATTTGAGGGTCTTTTGCAAAAATTGATATGCAATAATTGTGATGAATGTGATTAATCAGCATATCGTGTAGTTTGATTCAATTGAAAATGAATGATTAAGAGCACAAGGGAGGTCTGGATTACTGAAAGAACATGCGGTTAGTGACTGTTTAAAAACCTCCCACGAACCTGAGCAGAGCGTGAGAAGAGTGATCCAATTCTTCACAGATTTAGGTTAGATAATACTTTTCAGCCTCAGACTGTGATAGTGTGGGAGTCAGACAGGAGAGAGAGAAAAGTGGGAAATGAGGGAACTCTCAGTGGAACATTAGTCGAGGTTATCTAAATAGGCCCTACTGTGCTCAAGAACGCGCATATTCTTATTCACTGAGAACATTGAAACACATCTGGGCATATTCTGTCTCAAAACAAACTGTCAACAACATCATTCTCATTCACTTGGCTTTTATTCACATTTCAAATATGCTAACGCTAGCAAGATCTTTACATTCCACTGTGTGCCTCGGAAAAACCAGACTTCTATCTGAGCGTTCAGACAGAATAATAATAATAATATTATTTATAATAAAAGCAGCATCCCAGTTTAAAATAGAAAGCCATATGTGACGAGTGTATGATAATGTTCGATATCTATGTGCTCGCTCGCACATCCTCAGTTCATTAAAAAGGAACTAGAACCTGATAAATAAAATTAAACGATAGCCAAACATCTTGATAAAATCATCATCATCATCAACTGAAATCTCACACTGACATTAAAATCAGATAGAAAAGTGACTCAAGTCCACAGAGAACAAAAAGAAGTGAAATCCGTATGATTGTTGGTCGTTTTCGTGCATACGCACAAGTGTGTCCTCGGGAATACACATCCATCTCAGAAAAAATGGGAAATGTTTGCTGTCAGTCATGTAACCGTCCCCTGGTGGTCCTGTGCGAAGGTACTGGCACCTGCTCGGCACCTTCCAGGGCTCGTTTCTTCCGCTGAGGCTCCCGTGTGGTGGATTTTGACTCGGGAGGCAGCTGAGCCCGACCTGCGGTGGCCTCGGTCTCCTGTGTCCAATGACTGTGCTCTGCAGGCTTTACACCCAGGGAAAGAGGAACGATTATAACTGTGGGCTTTCAAAGGCATCCCAAGGTTAATGTGCTTTCTGAAATGTCGCTTCCTGTTGTATTCTTCAGGGCGAGACGCACACCTGGAGGCGCTGCAGGTCTGTTGAGCCGCCGCTCTAGCCCTGCGTCACACTGTCCCTCGAGCTTCTTCCAAAGCCATCAATAATTTAAACAACTCATAAAGAGGAAAATAAAAACTGAAAAACAAAACAAAGCAAAAAACTAATTTAAGATTCCACCAGTGAGCCACAATGTAAACATTTTCCCACTGCGGCCTGATGGTGGCGCTATAGTAGCCCCTCAGGCTTCCTCTCGGTGTCCGTGTGTGCATCTCTTTGTGAGGACCCACGCTCTCACTGGTATTGGAGGTAATTCTTCAGAGACTGGGGCAAAGGCAATGTCTCGATCTCCTGTAGACGCTCTCGTCCCAGAGCCACCCGCGCTGCACGTCGACACAGGTCCATCAGAGGGAGCGGCTCCGCTGGAGAGAGACAAAGAAAAGCATCTGTTAGAACTGGATTCAAAAAGGGAAATTCAAATGCACACAGATTGAAGGCAACATAATCGTCTGTTGAGACCAAAACAAAGTTGAAGAGCAAAGTATTTGAAGTGATAGTTCATCCAAAAGATGAAAATTGTAATTTGCCAAAAGATGTCAAATTGACCAGTCATTTGTGTTCCAAGCTTCAAAAAGGACACAAACGCACCATAAAAGTATTGTAACAGTGGTCCATCCAGCTTCATACAAGTCCTACATTAGTGTGAGGCGTGAACTCGAGAATTCCTGTTAAATTTGAGAATCGGGAATCTGTCTAATTCATGAACAAATTATTTAGACCGATTCCGTGAACCAGCTCAGTTGATACACTGAAAAGATCCTTAAAGTAAGATTACATAGAATATGTATAAGGATATATTGCGAAAGAATCATTCTTCTGTATTTTCAATGAATCAATTGATCTGGTCCACAGAATTGGTCTGAATGATTTTTCAGACTGAATTATTCAGACTGATTCTGTGAACCAGATCAGTTGATTCATTGAAAAGATTCATTTAAAAGGTTCCTCTAAAGCACCCTACATAGATCTAACAAAAAATATGATTTGTTAACAAATTGGACCAATTCCTGAACAACTCATTCATACCATTTCCATGAACCAAATTAAATTATCGAGAAAAAAAATCCAACTCAAAAGAATGATTTGTTAATGAATTGGCCCAATTTGTGAACAAATCATTCAGAGTGATTTCATGAACCAGATCATCTGATTCATTGAATAGGACCGCTTTAAAAGAATTTGCTCACAAACTGGACCAATTTATGAACAAAACATTCAGATGATTCAGATCAACTGATTCATTGAACAGTGAACAATAATTCACAAATTGGACATAACTTCATAACTTCTAAGATGTAAAATGTCTCACACAAAGGTATTGTGTGCCTTCAGAACAGTTACAGTAATATGGACTTGTTTTCTGGTATGTTAGTTTTGATTTCGCATCTTTTTTGAAAGTTAAAAAGACTCCGTAAACAGAAACGAGTGACCATGAAATTCTTTAAAATTTCTCCTTTTGTATTTCACAGAAAAATGACAGTCATACAGGTTTAGAACAAGACGGTGAGTAAATGGTGACTGGATTTTTTACGTTAAGTTGTTCCTTTAAAAGCCCCAGTGTGTGATCCAGTGTGTGTGTTTGGGCATCTTGCTCCTTTACAAAAGCTGACAGAGCAGTTCAATAATGGATGGATCTTACCACTGGAGCTCAATATTCATCAACAGAGCTGCTGCCTCACAGAGAAGTCATCCGCAAACACAAAAACAGCCACGGCTCCATCTGGACAAGATGCCACATCTCCTCTGTTGACCATCAGGTCTTTACCAGGACCTGGGCTGATATGACTAATCAGATCACAAGGATGGCAGTGAGAGTCAGAGCCCATTCCCTCCCGCTGGCCAATCAGAGTAAGAGATTGTGTCAGACTTACGTTTAGTAGTAAGTATGTGTGGCTAACAATCAAAAGAGGAATGGTTAAACAGCTGCACTGGCACAATGCAAGCACCCACATTGGATATTTATAGCTGTGATGGAGTCCCACACAGAACATGTCGTGACTTATGTCTTCCTCCATCCTGGCAGCTGAACTGAAGGCAAGAGCATTGTAATACCCTCACATAATGCAAATTTTCACCACAACAAGAAGTTAAAATGAAACTATGGATCCCTATGGAGCCCTTCACACAGAGTGAAGTGATTTAATGACACAAAGCAATGGTTTTTCAAGCTTAAGTTGTTGCTTGTCAAATCGAAATTTTGTGTCGCACTCAGTGACCGTGAATACTTTTAATGCACATTTTCTGTGCCTCCAGCGTCACCAAACAGAATTGCAAAAATGTTTTCAGCTTCAGCTTTCCCAAAAAATCCCCATCAACACTGCCAACATCTAACACTTACTTAAAGTTAATATTTTAATACAGCACTGTTACATCTACAGCAAATCTCTAAATAAATATCAATTTTTTATACTGTTCATTATAATTTTCTAATGCTTTTTTATTCATTATTTGTTATTGTTGTTGCATAATGTTTGATAAACTGTATAATAATAATTATTATTATTAACTATTACTATTAAATGTTATTATATATTATTACATTTTTCTAAAATGAACTCTCATTATACCAAAATATTTTCTAAGGCCTACAATCACTTTTAGTATTAAAACATGATTAAATGTTTTAATATTTTATAATAATAATAATAATTTTATGTGTAATTTATTAATGTTGTATAATGATTGATAAACCATAATAATAATAATAATAATAATTTTGATTATTATTATAATTATTACTATAATATAATTATTTTATATTATTAAATATTTTTCTAAAATTATTTGTCATTATACACAAATATTTCACATGTCTGACCGAAATCAAAATCAAGTATTTCAGAAAATGGTTCTGAATTAAATCAAAGCAGACCAAAAACATCACTTTCTGATAGCAGTAAAACACTCACTTCCTTCGAAATATATTTAGAAAGAGTCGCATCACCAGTAAGTCCAGCACGACTCATAAAGAGGCAGATGGCAAGTGTAGATGGGATCCAGCTGTACCCAGTGGGCGGGTGTGGGACGGGGATGAGAGAGAGGTGACTGACAGTCAGGGTCATAAGTGACAGATGGATCAAAGCACGGACATAGTGCTCTACTGCAGTAATGGAATAATTTTTCATTTCCAGCCCACGTATGAACACGCAAAGGCCAGAAAGCTCAAGGTTAGTCTGAAGACTGTAATCATGTCAGTGAAATACACAACATGCACGGTGACCTGTCACTCGCTGTGATCCTCAGGCTGCTCCCCGTCGCTACTCAATCACATTAAAGCACTGCCTACATGTGCCGCATATGGCAACAAATCATATTGATGTGAGTTATACACAATAAATGTGATTACATGGCTCAGATATGTCAATGTGATTCCATTGTGCAAGTTATCAGACTCTCAGAACAACCTAATAAAATGGCTGATAAAACAGACTACAGCAGTTGGGAGATTTTGGTTTTCTTCCCACACAGCAGCAGTCGGTTTGATCTCACAGGATAGCTCACACAAATCAATCTATATGGTTAAACTGTAGTGCTAAAAACAGTAAAATTATAAATAAGTTAGGAAAAAAGCAAGGTCTGACAGCCTTAGAGAATGTTTTCTAGTGCAAAAATATCACTTTACATATTTCTAATGTAGAGAATTGTTAATTACAAATCATTTTGCACAATTTGAGGAAAAAGTTGAAATGAAAAAAGTGATATAATCACAAACTGCACTGCACACCAGATGAAATGACACTTGAGAGAAAACACTGAGGAAAAACATAAAAAGTGATTTACAGTCAACCCAGGAAGTTCCTGGCCCGGGGGCTATCGACGCGGGGGTGGTCTCATTCGAAAGCGGGCCTCTAGACGTACACTCGATTCGCGTTGAGAGGGTTCCTCGAGCTGAAGGGATCCCCTGAATTTGGTGCGGATTCGCCGCACAGTTATGGAGATATGGCTGTTCAAAGTTTTAATGGTTTTCCATAGACTTAAGCTTTAAAGCGTTTCATCCAGGTTGCCAGTAGCAAAAAATGGAGCGCGCTCTGCTGGACAAACTAAGTAATTACACCATTTCAAGCATTTTATCTGCGTTATATGTTCTGTAAAAAAAATTTCATATCGGATATATAATTTCCACCACAGAATGCACAATGCCATTTGCCTTTTTTTCATGACAGTTCAGGGAGGGGGAAAAAAACACAACAAAACAAAACAAAAAAAGAATTAATTCTTCTATGATGCATACATATTAACTGTTGACATTATTAGCAGACAAATTAAATAAACTGTTAAGAGTTTTTTTTTGGACTGCATCCATGCAAACCATTCCGTTTCTCTACTTGCACAAATAAAACACAATATGGATTGAGAGTCGGACTTGTAACCCAAAGGTTGTGGGTTCGAGTCTCAGGTCCGGCAGGGATTGTAGGTGGGGGGGAGTGAATAACCAGCGCTCTCTTCCACCCTCAATACCACGACTGAGGTGAGACCCTTGAGCAAGGCACCGAACCCCCAACTGCTCCCCGGGGCGCTGCAGCATTGGCTGCCCACTGTTCCGGGTGTGTGTGTGTGTTCACTGCTGTGTGTGTGCACTTGGATGTAGGACTGCACGATTAATCGAATGCGATTGTCATGTGCATTTTGATAGTAATGCCAGTTCTGTAATCAGCAGGAAATCATCATCACGTGCTTTCAGATGGAGCAGAATTTACTACACATAGCCGTAGTTCACTGACAAGTTACGCAAAAAAAAAAGGCATTGCATTATAAATATACTTTATTTTAATGAAAATTATAATAATAAGAACTCGTTTAAGATAAACCGTATATTGCCGTAGTCGTGCAGCCCTACTTGGATGGGTTAAATGCAGAGCACAAATTCCGAGTATGGGACACCATACTTGGCCACACGTCACTTCACTTCACTAAGCTCCTGCACGTCTCTAACTCCTCCATTAGGCTCCTAATAAATGATCTCTGGTGCAGAAGAGGAGAGAGAACTGCATCTATTTCAGTCCGACACAGTTTTATGATCATTATTACTGTTCCAAAAAGCTATTTTTTTGTGGTTGCAAGACAAGCAATGGGATTCGCATGGTAAATATCAAAGCATCACATTTTGTAAAATCCAATTAATTCACCCTCTGTACTCAGTGGGGATGCTGCAGCATCACAAAGGGGGATCTGACACTTTCTATGACCTGCGCCAGGGCGGGAAAGAGGGGAACCTTCTGGAAAAGCTTTGCACCAGGCTACAGAAAGCAGCCTGAGAGGAAACGTTTCGTGGAGATCAAACCTAGCGGTGTAATTAGATTAAATCATTGTGAACAGATTAATGTCTACGGCTGATTAATTGAAAGATTTGCGGCGGTCACGT